CGCTGGTTCAGATCCTGGGGTGTGGCACCACTCATTAGGCCATGCCGGGGCGGCATCCCACATAGCACAACCAGAGGCACTCACACCTGGAATCTACAACTATGTACTGGGGGGATTTGAGGGGAAGAATAAAAAATTTAAAAAAAAGATGGGCAACAGTTGTTAGCTGAGATGCCAAACTTTAAAAAAAAAAACATAAAAAATAAAAAAATAAAAATATATAAAAAAGGAAATTGCAAACATGAAAAGCATCTATTATTTCATCACCATCACTTTGAAGCATGTTCCTTACCATGTTCCTTTCATCCTCCTCAGAATATGCTCTTTCATAAATTGGTAACTCTGCTAATTTCTACCTTCATGAGCTTGCCTTCTTTTCCTATCCCTATGGCTTACAGTAATTTTAAGGAGTAGGTTAAAGAAAAGATTTAGGCTAAGAGCGAAGTTCTCCACAAAAAGCTTCTACTGTAGAGGATGCATTCGTCCACTAACTCCCATATTTGGAAATATACTGCTCCTTTGTACAGTATACATTCTGTGCATAGTTCCTTTATCACACTTATCATTTCATACTGAAATATTCTCTCCCCTGCTAGACAATAAGCCACTCATAAGCAGGAGTCAAGACTTATTAATCTTCATGTGCTTAACTGCAAACACAGTACCAGTCACTGGAAGGTAAGCAATCGATTTTTTTCTTCACGTACTGTTTTTAAAATTAAATTAAGTCACTTGAAATGACCCATGATTCTGAAACAATTTCGACAGAGATATCCCTTTTGAGAGTACAAAATACAATTTAATATCCATAGCAAAAGAGCAGAAAATACTTTGGAACTCAGTTTTCAGGTTCACCTCACCCTTCTAAACCATTGCTTGTCTTTTAGAATCATACTAAGGTGCACATATTATGTTAATGCTCACATATCTATGTACCTCTAAAACCAGAAGATCAAATGATAGCTTATATCAGGCACACAGTTATGTGTTTGTCAATTCCCATAATAACTTACTATTGTCAACGTTCCTGTGAATGCAGAGCTCTCTACTCTAGTCTCCCACCAACCTCCTTGTTGTTTGGCATGATCCAGCCACACTGGTCTGCAGTTCCTGACATAACACCATTCAATTTCCAACCTTAGGGTTTCTCACAGGCTATTTCTTCTGCTTGGAGGATTTTCCCATCTTAAAATGGCTGGGTCTATTCCATCTTAAAATGTTCGAGTGAAATATCACCTCTTGAATGAGAGCTTCCCTTATCCTCCCGTTACACACATGTTCCACGTTTTATCCAGGACTGAGCCAACACCTCGTATTTATACAATGTTTTTACTTATGTGTGATCTGTCTCCTCTACTTTCATAAAAGGTCATAGGGAAAAAAACCAGGGCTATTTTTCTTTTTTTTACAAAATTCATATATCTTGTTTCTAAAATAGTGTTTCATGCAAAAGTGTTCTCAAGAAATAGTTGTAGATAAAGGAATTTATGACTTCACTTGAACAGATCCTCATATAACATATCAGTTTCTCACCTACGGGACTGTTGACATTTTGGGCCAGGTAATTCTTTGTCCTGTCAATTCTAAGGATGTTTAGCAGCATTCCTACCTTACACCCACTACATGCCAGTAGTACCTACCAGTGAGACAAGCAAAAATATCTCAAGATATTACCAAATGTCCTCTGGGGGGGGGGCAAAATTGTTCTTGATTGAGAATGATTGTTATAGATCTACACAATAAAATAAGCTAAACAAGGAAGCGTAATATCTGGGTTTTCGTCTGTCCCTGTCCCCTCCAAATGACTGAGATTTTTATCTTCCACAGATGCAGCATATTGGGAAATGTTAAATTTGGATCAGCCAATCCATGTGAAAGTTTAAGTTCTGACCCTACTTTTATAATATTGACTAATCATAACAACAGAGTAGCACTTACATAAATCAATGTTACTGAACACGTAAGTACACCAGTGCCAGCCACTGACTCAAGGGCTTCAGAGATGTTAAATTATCTCGTTTTATACCACTCCATGGTTTTATGCACTGCTATCGAGTTTTACTGAACGGCATGGAAAAATAGAGACGTCAGTTTAATTGACGAAGGTGAAAAAGCTACCAAGTGAAGAAGAGCATTGGAACTCATGCAGAATGACTCCACAGTCTGCTCCTGAGCTGTTCCATATGGCAGCCACTTGCCAAGCTTCTAACCCTCACGTGGCTATTGACTGGAAATATGGTTAGTCTGAACTGAGACTTGATGTAACCGGAAAATACTTGATGTAAGTGGATATTTCAAAGAATTATGGGAAAAAAGAATATGAAATATCTGAATAAGTTTTATATTGATGATACGTCTAAAGGATAGTATTGAGTTAAAGAACATATATGATTAAAATAAAGGTTTCCTGCTTCTTTTAACTTTTTTAATATGGGTGTTAGAAAATTTAAAATTACATACGTGGCACACAGTTTTGGTGTGGATTATATTTCTATTAGGCAGCACTGGTTTGTTCTCTTGGTCATTTCTACTCTGAATCTCCTTTACTTTTTCTGTACATTGGGTATAAGGATAATAACAATGGTCTTTACAGGTTAGTTGTGAGTTTTCAATGATATGCTACATATGAAAGTCTTCATAAACTGTGGAACTCTCTCCAAACTTTGGCTATTTAATGAAATGATATTAGAAATGAAAAAGTAGTTTTCCGGATGTTAGATGACTTAGACTATCAAGTAACATTCTAATTGCCATGACTGAGTGTTCCCAATAGTAAGATATGGTTGCAAATATTCACAGCAGAAAAGATAATTGAGAAAATAAAAACCCATAAATTATGTTTCCATCTATAATTAAAAAATAATGAGACAAGATACAGGATGCTCTAAAATTTCTCTAAATGTATTGTGTTGTACATCTGAAGTTGGACATGGATTTCAACCAACCTCTGCCATTACTTCCAGTTTAGCCTTAATGCCTCTAACCTTTGTTTTCTCGTTTGTAGAATGGAGATCATAAGACTGACCTGAATGATTATTATGATTTAATGAAGCAGGTCAACAAATAACTTGATACAGTGTCCAATAAAAATACCATTCAGAAAATATAAGTTATGCTGCTGCTTCTTTTTGTTATCATTACATTATTATTAATTATTATTGTTATTAAGTCCTGGCTTGTGTAACATGCCTACCAGATACCAATCTCAAATTCTGACTTAACAAAAGGAAAAGAAATAATTATTGAATGAATTAATAAAGGTGTTATAATAGATGAAAAAATAATAAAATGAATTTTCATTGGATATTATTCTTTCAAATGTCAAATTTTTCCATTTAACTAGAATCTATTAATTTTCTCATTGAATGCATCATTTTTAAATGGAATGCATTTTAGACACGTGTATATATGTTCTTGGGCATTTAAAATATAATATTTCTCAATGGCTATTTATTATTGATAAAATGCTTTTTACAGGAATATTTTTTGCTCATTGTAGATTATATAATTAATCAGTTATTCTCCCGGATTTGCATATTCATTCTCCTGATAACAGGCTTACACTAAGAGGTGGTCAGATATACACATAAAATTTGAAATTTGAATTTTAATGTAACTAAGCATGTGTTTAGGCTTGTTCAAAAGAACTATAAAGGATTATTATTGGTTTTCTTTTCTCTCCCAATTCTGAGGTAACCTGGAGCTGAATCCTGATGATTTGAAAAGAGCATAAAGGAACGGCCTTCTCTCTGTGTTTTGGGCTGAACACAACAAGAGCAGACCTGAGGGGCAGGGACCATAAATATCTAACAAAAGAATCAGCACAAATACATAAGCATACGATTAGTCTGCCCAAGAAAATTCTATCTGAATGGTATCATCTTTCCACACACATGATTTTAAACAATTCAATTCAAATCATGCAATATTAATAATCAAAGTTAGATAAAAATAGCATGGAAGAGAGGTAAAATGCTTTTAAACAGTCAAAATAACACAGTCAATTCTTAGACCATAATTCCTTCTGCATAATAGTCTTTAGTGTAAAGACATAAATAACACAAAAAGCTACATTTTAATACTTTATCACAATGGTATATAGCCCAAAAGCTAATTAAAATTGGAGGATCAATTTAGAAGTTAATACACAGCAAATGCTAAAAATCAAGGATATAGACCATAGTAGAGCTTGCATTTTATGCCACATTCCCAGCAACATGACATTTTATCTTGAAGTATAGGATCTTTTAGATTAGTAGGCAATTGGCTGAGTCTTGAGAGTGTCCACTGAGACCTAATATCATCCTCTCTAGCTGCATGTCTACCAAATTTGTATAAGAAAGGAGAACAAATACATGTATTACATGGTTGGAAGCTAATGGCTCTTAACCTATTCTTGACCTATTGTGAAAATATGAACGGCTAGTTTTATAACACAAAATAGATCTATAAATAGATCAGGAATACAAAATGTTTTAGGATGATGGCTATTCCAAACACAGAGGTATTCAATGCAAATCTGACGCAGTCATATTAAGTGCAAGTCTGATTAGTTTGCAAGGTTCCCCCATGTAGCACTTTCTTGCTAAGTCTTTATAATATGACAAATTAGATTTTTCATTGAACACTTTTACCCTCAAGTTAGGATCTTCCTTATTAAATTCCATGTGGAAATAAACACACTCACTGTAGAAGAATGATTTAGTTTGTTTTCTAGTAAAACATTATTTCCTTTGGCATTACAATCATAGATGCAGAGTACGTATACGGAGAGGTTTTGTGGTCATAGATCTCCCTGTCTCTGAAGTATATCTGAAATATTTAATTGTCATCTTTTATTAACAGTGAATTCATCAGCATATTTACCTTTTCTTTTTTTTTCATTTCTGTAGCACATTTTTGATGTGTTTTAGATTAAATGATCAATCGCTTTTTTCCTTTCTTTTATTTTCTAACGCTAAGGCTTTTGCCCTGCAGAAAGACCATTAAAGGCAGCTTACTCTGGGGGAAGCGAGGGGGGTTGTCATTGACGTCTGTCAGCGTGATGTTCACAGTGGTGGTGCCCGACAAGCCTCCCATCTGGCCGCCCATATCTTTGGCCTGGATCACCACTTGGTATTGCTCCCTGTTTTCTCTGTTCATGTTTGGTAAAGCAGTCCTGATGATACCTTGAAGAAAATATAAAGACTGTGTTATCCTTATTAAAATCTCAATCATTAGTTGCTTAAGCCCACAAATTGTATACCTAATGTAGTGATTTTTGAAAGACAAAATATATGTTTGCTGTTAATTTTTATTATCTAGAAGTTGCAAAAGTGATTCAGTGTAAATATTTCACAATTGGTGCTTTTTATTATTTCCAAAAGAACACCATGTGTGCTATACAAAGACCTAAACCCATATGTAAACACATAAAACAGGTATACTTCCATTAGCTGACTCAACCTTTCAACTTTGAGTTCTTAAATCTTTAAGAGTGGCATCATCACTCTTCTGTGAGTATTAACGTTAAGGTTTAGTTCGTATTTTCCCCCCTCCTTTCTACGTAAAAAGAGCATAAAGACTATTAAATTAACAAACACTGATTCATGATTCCTGACCTGTTTCGGGCTCCACAGAGAAATACGGCTGCCCTTGAAGGATGCTGTAAATGACTCTGGCGCTGTTCCCATAGGAAGGGTCATCGGCATCGGTAGCTGTGACTTGCACCACAGAAGTACCTGAAGTATCCAAATTCAGCTTAGTTCTGCACAGTACCAGAAGGAGGAGCAAAAGCACTGGTTTTCATGGAAGACTTGAACGATTTTTGGTTTTAATAATGACCTCTTAAAGAAACATTTATACAATTTAGAGGAAAATCACATATATAGCGTTATTACATGCAAACTCTGGTTTCAACTACAAAAATATTTAGCTAACAGGTGTATTTCACGCATGCAATAGACAATGCTACAGTGTATCAGATTATAACAAATGCAGTCACTTTACAAATGCTCAGGTTTGATATTTAAATTCATTGTCACATAATAGATTTGTTTTGTGTAAAGGGCATGTCTAATCACAAAGGAGTATGTATGCTCCTCTTTCTCCCCCTCCACTAATTAACTATAAAAATAATTAACATCTGCTCTAGAATACAATTTTATGAATAGATTAAATTCTAAATTTAGAAACAAACCAAGATGATCCCAGGTTCCACGAACTCTTAAAAGCTATTTAATAAAGTTCAAGATATTTAAAAGGGCTTTATAGTCAGGTAATTGTCAAAAGTCCTTGGGATTTACTGAAGTAAATATTAAATGATAACCCCAGAACAATGCTTTTGAGAAATGCAGACTTGCAAATTGGCTTTTATAACTGTTACAAGAAAAAATGTATCAGAACTGTTTCATCAGTTTGCACAACTTCTCCCACATTTGAGAAACGCATTTATTCTACTAAATCCATAAACATATTTCTAAAAATGTTATCACTGTTTCCTGATGTTTAATTTTCTGTCATTCTCTATTTGATTAAAAAATTAAAGCCATCTTAACTTTCTTTGCCTACAAATACAACTTCTATTTATTTACATTGAAAAGGGAAATTTCATTTTCTTGAATGTTATGCTTCTAGTTTTTTTAATACTTTCTGTTTTACAGGTTCCACAACCTAAATTTTTAAATCTGTATCTGTGTGTGATTAACTGTGGATTTTCAACTGGTTTATTTGAATAAGAGATTTATACTGGCAGAGTTTTATATATAATAGTTATAATGAAAGGATGTTTTCAAATACTTAATTTGAAAGAATTAGTTAATCTAATCAATTACATCATTCTTATTATCTAGATAATTCAAACAAACTCTAGGCAAATTATGACTAACGAATACATAGAGAACATATGCAAAGACCCTATATTATATCTATGGTGCTCTAAATGTACCTAAAATATATTTGGAGTCAAAATTTTACACAGCTGTTATCTAAATCCATGTGACAAAAAATTGTATTTTTGCAGTTTTCTACTAAGTTCAATAGTATTTTCTTGGATTTTTGAGGAAAGTGTCTACTGATTTGCATTGTAAAGATTTACAAATCCATAGGAAGTGAAAAATGCATTCATCCCTTTTATTCTGATCATTTCCTAAATTAGGAAATTAAATATGTACTCTTAGTTGGGAATCAAAGATGATTTCAATTACTTGATCATAGAATTTTATGAATTTCTTGTTAATTTTTATACTTTTTGATTACCGTCATAAATGTTGTACATGAACTTACCTACAACGGACATTTCAGGAACACTAGCTGTATAAATTTCCTCTGGGAATGTTGGCTCATTGTCATTGATATCGTGGATTTTGATCACAAACTCAGACTCTGGTTCTACTGGTCTCAAAGTTCTTCTGTTAATAGCTTGTGCACGTAGAGTATAAAAGGCCTTTTCTTCCCTATCAATTCTTCTTGTGGCATGAATGTCACCTGTTTTTTCATCAATAATAAAAAGAGTCCCAGCTCCATCTCCAGATAAAATATATTTGAGTGATCCATCTCCTTTATCTTGGTCTGAATGAAGCTAGGGGAAATAAAAAAGTGTATATCCATGAGAATGTCTAAAGGTACATAATGCTGAAAGAATTCAAAGAAGGTCTCTCGTGTCCCATCACTGAATAATGGGGTCAGTTATCTTAGTTCTTGAAATGAGAGTTGAATACGTATGATCACACTCATCTATATACTTTAAACAACAGGACTAGCCTTTTATATATCAGCAGGATTTTTATTCTAAATGGAAAAAAGTAATAAAAATAAGCCAAACAGAGCTATTCTCTGTGCTTTGCTTGGTAAATAACTATTTTCATAGGCAAATAACTCCTGACAAAGACATAAGTCATCAGTCTCGACATGCTGGTGTAAACATTGTTTCTCTCACCTATTTCTGTGAGTGGAAAATTCTTTTACTCACATTATGCAGGAAACTCATCTCCTACAAATTTATTATTAGTTATTGCATTTCCATTGGGATATTAGTGATATCTTAAGAACTGTGAGACAGGCAAAATTGTATGAGACATAGTTCCTACATGAGAAACACTATGCATCATTTTTTGGTTCATACAAAAGACAGTGACTACACCATAAATATTTGCGGGCCTCAGAGTAAGAGTACAAATAGATGTCTATATAACATGTGGCTATATATTTTAAAGTTCTAGGGGCCAGCCTGGTGGTGTATTAGTTAAGTTCGCACACTCTGCTTCAGCGGCCTGGGGTTTGCGGGTTCAGATCCTGGGCGTGGACCTAGACACCACTCATCAAGCCATGCTGTGGCAGCATCCCACATACAAAATAGAGGAAGACTGGCATGGATGTTAGCTCAGGGACAAACTTCCTCAAGCAAAAAGACGAAGATTGCTAACAGATGCTAGCTCAGGGTCAATTTTCCTCACCAAAAAAAAATCTATGTTCTATCTAGCCTCCTACCTTGTCCAATCTATCTTCTCAACAAACTTAAGCAAGTTCTGTGAAGGAACAAGACAATGCAGGGCAAGTCTGTTTCTTGCTCCCAGCCTATGCCCACAACACTAATCTTCCAGAATCCAAGTCATCTTGTCAAAGAGCATGCATTCATGTGGACATCTCAGCCCAGTGCTCAACCCATCCCAGTGCAAATGCTCGCCCAGGAGCCCAGTGTCATGGGCAAATTCCATTTATGGTGTCTTTTACTAGATGCCCACTAGGGGTTAAGGATGCATATAACAGTGAGCGAGTCTGGCATTTGGGTGACTGACCTGGAGAAGAAACCCTCCTTGGACTTTGAAGCAAGCTCAGGAATGTTTGGGCAGGGAATAATTGGTCCCAAGTACCCTGAGCACAGTCTGGAAATGGATGTGCAGGTTCCAGATGTGAATATCCCCTACCTCCCATGGAACTCTTACCCTGAAGGGAGGGGTTTGGCCATTGGAGGAACAGAGCGTGGCTTTGTAAAACACAAGGATTATAAGTTTTTCTTTAATTGTACCACCCAACCAATGAACATTTTCTATGCTATGATCACAGTTTTATTATTTGCAATAAGAGACTCTGTTTTTTAAATTTTTATTTTGTTTTTTATTTGGTAAGAAATATGAAAATAAAGTGTAGATTTTCTAGATCTCAACAAAGCATTTATTATAACTTAGACATCATCACCAACATGTTTGCTTTTTAATATTCATATAAAGTATATTCATAAATCAGAGTAGGCACACCAACCTGTAGCCTAGAGAATTAAAAATAAGATACATTATCCTTAAATTATGCCAAACATTATAGAGTTAGATATTTACCTACATAGGTTTTATTTTTGCTCTTTAGATTACTTGCATCAACAAACATTTTCATCTAATTATGTCTAGAAACATTAAATTGATTAGTTTCTATTTAAAGAAAATTTTATTTCTTTTCTTTATGGGAGTTCATGTCAATGACCTTGACCAGGAAACATTTTTATATGGACATCAAAACTGTTTAAATTAAATAAATATTTTAAAACACACACACACATGCCTAATATATTGTATCACTGGTTATTGCTGTGTCTACAAAAGCAGTCTAATTTTCGGTTAATGGTTCATAGTAATTCGCATTTAGCTATCAAATTTGGATCAAATATCATTTTTTCTGATTTCTGGACAAATAACTCATTACAGATATAATGGATAAAGAAAAATCCCAAATGGATATGTACTTTGGAGAAAAAGAAGTCAGGTAACAAATAGTTTTTCACTGCATTTTCAGCTATTTATAAACAATAGAGTAAGGTTGAAAAACTCAAGAAATATCTGCTTTTAACCAAAAGGCTCTCAGAAGTAATATAAGACTGTGTTGTCCAGGGAACCACTCTCAAAAAGTCACAAGACTGATGCGTTTTAGTAATTGAAAATGCACAGAGTTGCTGGGAAACTTTCCAATTATATGAATGCACAACACAGTGGCAATTTTCCAAATGGCAGGTGTAAGTGTTGCATATTTCTTGTTCTGTCTGGCAATCAAAATAATTCAAGAAAAGATTATTGATATTATCAATCATTTGATCAGATAACTTTGTGGATTGTAATAGACAGTTATGATTTTTATTATCTATTATTCAGCAGTTTTAATTGAGAACTATCTCTTTACTTTCATAAGAATAAGGTACTTTTAAAAGTAAATCAACAATTCCATTGTAGTTCCATGGAAGATTCAAATACTGTGTGTAATAAAAATTCACAGGACAGCCCCTAAATTCGCCCATGGGAATGAGTGAGGATTTCCTTAAGCATATAACACCTAAACTACCTGATAAAGAATGAGTAGAGGTTTCAATCTGGGAAATTTTTTGCATTTTACAAACTTTACATCTCATAAAGAATACTGGATGAATATAGAACATAGATTCAGGGTAGTGAGGGATATAAGGAAAGACGGGAATTATTAAGACCGGTTCTGTTATTCTAATCAGTTAGACATGCAAAAAAGTTACTAGTATGGTGAGATTTTAATTTTTATAGAGCTCAGTTTTGGAATATGAATCACAGCAGGATTCTTACCTTCACTCATACTACAGAGAGAGAAAATTAAATCCTGTAATTGGACCACATGCTGTGGGAGTTTCTGCTGGATTAGAAAATGGAACACGGTATGGGGAATCAAAGAGATGAGGGCTGGAAGTCAGACTGGTTTTGAGAATCAGAAATGAAAGGATTGCTACCTTCTCCAATGGGAATATAATAAAGAGAAACAAATTAGACATACAAATTAGTAAGTTTTGGTTTTAAGAAGCCAGACTTACAAGAAATGTTTTATGAACCATGAAAGCTTGCATGAAAAAAAAGTACCTTCTTTTCTTACAGAGGGGAATAACTGAACATTAACACTAGAATAAAGGACCAAAATGACCATATTTGAGGGCTTGAAATTAGCTCATGTTTATCAAAATATAATTTAAATGAACATATTTAAGAACTGGACAAGTAAAGAAATTACAACAGACATTTACCATAGGGCAGAGAGATGCACTTCCAGAGCTCCCCAGACTTGGGGAGTTGCTTCCTCCTCTAGATGGAACCGATGGGAGGCAAGAGCTAAGTAATAACAGGTATGTGGATGATGATTTCCTTACAGTTACAGAAAGACACCATGGACAAAGTTCTTTAATTATAGTCTCCTGCCCCAGCTCCCCGTCATCTTTTTAAATTTCTCTTTATTATTTTAATTATCCCTTCCTTTGGATACTTTTTCAATCCTTACACTAGTATTGTCACTCTCTCTCATTCCTTGTGTGGATGATAGAATTTTATTTCACATTCCAACTCATTTACAAATAATGATCAGACAAGCGTTAGTCCTTACAACTGTAGCTTTCCCATTACTTTTCCCTTTTTTACTTGGATCTTAGATATCAATACTTACATTTATTAAACATTTAATTGAACAAAATTAATTGTTTACATACTGAGAAGTGGGATTATGGATCATGTGCCAAATAACTTACAGCGTCTACTTTTGAAATAACTTTTATATTGATTTGACCTTGTGCTATTTTATTATGTGAGACATTAAGTTTTCTTTAAACATAGAAAAAATGTCAGAGTATTGTGGCTTTAGTTTCTCAGTAACACCTGTTCTCCGGTGTGAAACATTTGTGCCACAAATCTTTAAGAAGAATTTTATGTTAATACTGACCTTTTCTTTCCTTGAGGAAAGCCTATTAAAAATTCACAACCTGCTGTGTTCCTTGTAAATTCACAAGCAGATAAAGGACATGGCAAGATGCATGACAATTAATGGAAATAGAACAACTGGGACTGTGCTGCACATTTAAAAGTCATTTTCCTATTATTTAACTTTTTAATTTAGATGTGGTTAATTATAACTCATTTGCTTACAGTGAGTAGATTAATAATTAAAACTAAACAGCCCATTGAATTTTAAGAAATATTTTAACCACAAATTATATCATGCAAGCCTGGTAATTTTAAATGTGGCAGGTTTCTGATAAGTCTGTAACATTTCATATAATTCGTCATCTTAAGATATTTGCCTAGAAGAAAGTTTGTAAACCAAAAGGGGTCTTGTGGCTTATCTAGTTTAAGGCCTTCTTTTTTTCTAAGAGGAAGAAATTGAGATGCAATCAATTTTTTATCACACAGATGTTAAATTAAGATAACACTTCAGGATAGGTGCTGTGTTGGCGGAATACCTTCCTCTTAACATCAGTCCATTTTTATTTCTCAGTGTCTCATATTAAATGAGGAAATATTCTTAAAAAAATAATCAAAGTATCTGTCTACAAAGTATAGAGAGTTTAAGTAATTTGTTACCAGAAAGATAACTGATAAAAGATTTTACCTTATTTTTTCACCTTGGCTAGAAAAAAAATAAAGAACAGTTTTACAAAGTGAAAAAACATATCTGCCAATACTGCCAGTAAAAGTCTGATTACTAGTTTAGAGGAATTTATATTGCTATCAGAGTCTTTTTCATTTATAATATTGACACCTTTATGGATATTGGTAATTGTTGGTATTTAGTTCCATTGCAAAAATTGAGAAA